AGAGTGAAGGGAACTCTTTATTATCGTCATTACTACCTATCATCAGGGACATTGACAACAGCCTCATGAGGGTCGATGGTGCAGAAGGGGAAGTTTTCAGCTGGGATCGAACACTGGGAACAGACACTTAGAGAAGAGAGCTGATAAAGTCACTATTGGTATTACCTTAGTGAGGACGTTGAAAGTCGTAGATTTGCCAACATTCGGCAGTCCGACGAGACCCATACGAAGGGTGTTCCCAGGTCGACCAAATTTGACCTTTTTCACTTCTTCTACCTTCTTCTTGGGAGCCATGGTTAACGCGGATGAGAGCTGATGGGATCAAACTGATGCTCTGGAGCATTCGACGAGCCCGAGAGATATGCACGGGAAAGCATTGTAGCTCGGAGAATGAGCAAAACTCCAGGAAAATGACCGACGAAAACGAATGGAAATTTGACTGTTTTCCCCCCAGTTAAATAACCGTTTGTGTTGCTGACGGGGTCGGGAGCCTTCGCCCTCAATGGTAACGGGTAAAAGGGCCGTACTGCGTGATAGATCAACTACTGCGACTTCGATTACCAGGGACAGCAATCACAACGCAACTATCACCGTCGCGCGCCACGAAATTATTTCCAGGAAATATTTGAGGTCTTTTTCTGAGGAAAATCTTCATCTTGTAAAACACACGGGAAGCGCTATCAGGAATGGGTAGTGTTGAACGGCTCATTCACAGAGGTTAGCTCGGACGAAAATGCCCAGTATTCGGCTGAATTCGGTACGTGACCACACAGAACAATTGTTACTACATTGACAGAGCGTGCCATATGGAACTCAACAAAACGGATGCTTTAGATTGATATGAGTTGAATAATCATCTATATCGGTACCGGCTATGTGCACCACTGGAGAGCTCTGCACGACGTATGTGTGCGATTACTCAGACGCAATAGAAACGTGCAAAAAATATTTCATGGAGTAGTGACTTGCTTGTCGATGTGGAGCTGCGGTGATTGCTTTGCTGGCCACGTGCTCCACCAATCACTTGACGAGAATGAGGTTGAGGTGTGGCATGTATTAATGTGCACTCCTATGACCGCGATACGATCGCTGCGCGAGTTATCCTTCCTTCCTCTTCTGAGATCTGTACCGAGTGGTCTGTTGTGGTGGAAATTTGCGCATCTCGAAATTTCCCCCTACGAACTTGAGCCATCATCGGTTCATTTTCTCCTTCACGTGACCGAGACATTTCAGGGTGTATCTTATTCTATATCGGACCAAACCTCTCCATACCGCATCGGATTTGTGAATCACGCTCTGGCCTTGACACGGTGACAAGTCGGAGAGGCTCAGTGGACGGGAGCCATT